TGCTGAACCTGTAAAATTTAAAATTTAGAATCACTCGTATGATTGTCTGGCTTTATGCAGTACTATGCAGGAAGCGGCAAATAATAGTTATAATATTCAAAAAGGGAAATGTATACAATAGCACTTTTTGTTTTAATTTCTCTTTTGAATTTAACACTCATCTTAATAATGACAAGGGCTATCATCTTTATTACATAAATATTCTAAATTTGGTACGTTCATCTTTAATAAACCTATGTGGTATGTACATACATCATGATCTTTTAAATGAAATCACTAACCATTTCGATAAAATTTATATTTGCATGCACGTACATTAAAGCATAATCACTATTTTTTGTTACCCTTAAACAAAAGGCATTTGCTATAGACGAGTGTCCAGACTTATATGATTTCGGAAGGTTTTTATTGTTTAAACAATGAAAAATTTCTGAGATCATGTAAGTCTTGCGCTCTAACCATAGATATAAATCAGAATAATTGAGCGATTGGTTTTTATTATTAATTAAAATTTAACTATGATCTTTTAAAATATTTATCATGACAAATCGTGCATTCGCTATATGTTGATAGTATATACAATAACGCAATCAATTTTATTAAGGCCAGTATCTCTATATAAAAAACACGAATATCCAAATTTGTTGATTTTTTATCATATAATTAGTCATTTTTAAATAATAGCTGCTCAAGCTTTTTTTTATTTAATTAAAATGCCACCCAGGCGTCATATTTCAAAAAAAAAAAGCCCAATCTTCAATATAGACCCACTATTCAATATAGCACTATTCAATATAGACAAAACCCTCCTTTTCAATATAGTACTATTCAATATAGACTACAACCCAATATTTAATATAGACAACCCAATATTTAAAATAGGTGAAACATAGAGGAAAAGAAGGTGGTGTACAACGGAGCGCCAGAAGTAGCTGAAATCAGATTCATGAACAAGAACAAAAAAGGCCAGGTAGCAATTTTTGAACAAGACGAGATGTCGGAAGCACCCAATATTACGGAACCAGAGGTAATTAAGATTGTAAAATCAGATGTAATTGAGATTATAAAACTAGTGATAATCAATATGGAACCAGATGTAATCGAGATTACAGATGATTGAGAAAATCAAATAATATCATTGTAAGGAATAGATGTTATGAATTTTCTTACCATAGGTGATACTCTAATTGCATATAATTTTTAGACTTCTAAATATATAAAAATATGTATACTTAAAATTTGTGCCTATAAGCTTATATTATTCATAACA